TGAAGCAGTGATGATGCCTGCCTCTGAAGGCCAGCTCCTAGGGCCATTCTTTGTATGTGACTTACTTCAGGCTATTTGATGGATAGTCCCACTCCATGAATGACAACCTTTTCACCCCTTTAACTGTGCGAGTCGTTTAAATTAGGAGCGAGTGAGCAATGCTGAAGGAATAGCTAATTACAATAGATAAGACAATGTACGAATGAGTGAGTTGATTAGAACTGAGTTGGGGCTTTACTTCCTAATTATTTTTTAGTAAGGCAGTTGGGGAAGTGGCAGTTTGAGAATAGGGCCTAATTGCGCAATCCTGGCATGGACTCTCTGCAGGGCTTGTGGTTTTATATAGAAACTGGACCGTATGGCCTGGATATCTGTCGTGTGTGCATGCATTTCTGTTGTTTGTGGGGACTGCAGTGGCAAAGATGGGGCTGAGTCATGGAGGATGAAAACAATGCCATTTTCACAGACTGCGGCATTTCTGATGCAGTGGGATGGACACTGAGCATGCCCGATGATTTGATGACGATGACGAGTGATGTACTGCCGCAAGATGGAGGGTGGAGTTAGAGCTGGCTGGTGCAGCTGCGGGGGTGGAGTGGGGGTGGTGCATGCTGTTCTGTGGCTCTCTATATGTAAGGAGAAAAAGAAAGCTTTTCTAGAATGATCTAGAAACTTGGCTGCCTGGGAGGGAAGGTACTATTTAAAAAATTTTCTTTTAGGTGGGGAGAATTGGTTAGGATTCTGTGTGTTTAGGAAGATGGCTTCAGTTAGCCACTGCCTATTTCTCCAAAGGGAGGATGGCGGCCATTTTAGTGAAGGCAGTTGAATGGCGTTCTCGAGATTAAGATGGAAAGAATTACAAGGTTTAGAGTCATATAACCCTGGCTTTGAGGGTCATCTCTGTTATCTGAAAATAAACCTCTTAGAGAATTATGCTTATTTCTAAAATAAAGCTAATATCATCTTCTTTAAAAGTAGAAACCTGAGACGTTAATGCCTTTTGGGACAAAGTAGCTGATATTCAACATTTTTGTTTTATTAAACTGGATTGTGTTGCAGGGATTATTTTTGTATGCGTGTATGTATAGTTTAGCTTGATAAAGACAATTTCTTTCTAAGGATTTTTTTAGCAACATTTTTCTACAAATGAAGGCACTGAACTATTTTGAGGATCAAAGAGAAAATAATTTGCTGGAGAATTTTATGAATTTTATAAAGCATACATGTAGATAATTTGCTGTTTGTATAATAATATGTTGATTATTGCCTAAGCAGTACTAGAGAAACCCAGTATGTCTTTTGGTGTTGCACATTCACAGATTTCTTGGATTCCAGATTCAACTCCTTCTTTGACCCTGGACCTGTGCTGACTGGAAGCCTCGAGATGAGGTACGCAGCATCATGAGCCACAGGGACCCAGGATGGGAGAGGCAGGAGTGGGGGTGGGGTGGGGTGGAGATCATTGTCAGAGATGTGGGTGTGAGCAGGATGCGGTATCACAATCTGCCCTTTAGCTATAGAAATATGGAAATTACCTGATTTCAAGACCAGCCTTGGTCACCTCACCTGCATTCTGTTACTGGCCCTTTAAAAAGCAGGATGAGGTAAAGGAGCAGCTGGAAGGGCAATGAGGTGGGCTGTGGATAGATAATACAGTATAATGTTGGCCACAATATCCCCATTGGGGAACTATGCTATATAGTCAGAATTGGGAAGCAGGAGATGTGACCTTTTTGATGACAATTAGATAATTGATGATTACAATGTGTCTGTTGGGCAGAGAAGAGCATGACGAAGCTTTTTATTGTGTTGCTCTTGTTAACAAGATGGAGGAACTATGACTCAGCATTGCTCTTCTAGCTAGATTCTGATTTTTTTTTTTTAGGTAATCATTTATTGAGTATTTACTAGGTATCAAACATACTGGATGCTTTACATATATTGCCTATTTACTTCCCAGAACCCCCTATGCAGATGAAGAAACCATTCACAAGGGGCATCAGTTATTGTCTGTATTTTTTCTGGATCAGGAATTCTCATGAAGTGTGGAGGCTGAGGATCCATTCTCTTTGTGATTAGGAGCAGCACACAGAGAAAGACCTTTCTCCCTCTTCATCTTTATTCTCAGGAAGCCTGCCCCTCCCTGAGTCTCTAAGATGCTATATGAGCCACTGTGATGATGGAAATGAGTGGGTGCAAGATCTCTCAAGCACATCAAGTTAGGGAAAATGTTGAGCTTCACCGTTATAGAGAGGTCCTTGGTAGTAGGCTGCAGGGCTCTACCTGGCTCTGGTTTGGGGTTAGCATTTTAGTTCATGCCTTGGGTGGAGCTGTAGAATAGCACACTTACGAGGTGGGAAGACAGAACTGGAATGCAAGGGGGAAGTAATATGCTGGATGACAGAATTAGGAATCTATGAAGAATTTACTAGCCCACAAAGATAATCCAACAAAAACAAAATAAATTTGATAAGAGCAACTGTGACATTTTGTGCTCGTTTTATAAAACAGACAAAATTCTTTTTAAGAAATTACAGTTCTAAAGAATGAACCTATGTTTGAGGTGGAAACAGTAATGTAAACTCGGGTTTTATTAATTATAGTATAGGCTCTAAAATTGCAGGAGTCGAGTATTTTACTCTGACCAGTATTTGCAGAACCGTATCTCAAGTACTGTGCTTGGTTATATTGTCTTTAAAAGGGGAAAGAGACAAAATGGAGATTAAGGAAAGAAGCCCAGAAAGTGAATAGGACATGATTGTTGTCTTCTGACATCTTTAGACTTGTCACGATTAAGAGGATTTTATCTGTACAATTTGACCCCAAGAGACAGATGAGAGAGTGATTGGGTAGGAGTAGCTGTAGAGCTGCCTGGAGGGTCTCAGTGGGAAGGAGCTTGCCCCTTTACCCCTTGTGAAAGGAAGCAGAAGCCACCCGATTTGTGCTAGTGACTGAGCTGTGAGTCCCTAGATGTAGCCTTAGGTCTTTGAGTATTCTTTGGCAGGTGGATGATGGGGCAAAGATCAGAATGGAAGGACACAGAAGGGGGGACCTTGATAAAAAAAAAAGCACAATTGGCATTGGCTGGCCTGGCTCAGCCAAAGAAAAAAAAAGAAAGAAAGAAAGAAAGAAAAAAGAAAAAGAAAGTAAAATTTCACAACTAGGTAAACTATGTATTACTAGCCTTTTTGGACACACTGTTCAGGTTGGCCTTAGCCTTGCTTTGTAGCCAAGGATGACCTTGAGCTTTTTGATTCTCCTACCCTTTCTCCTAAGTGCTGGATTGTAGGCGTGTGTCATCGACTTGAACTCTGGACTTTGTGCATGCTAAGAAACATTCTACCAGTTGAACAACATCCCTAGCTTTGTATGTCATTCCCCCCACCCCCATTTCTTCTTTTCACAGATGAGAAAATCGAGGCTCAGAAAAGTCCCATGACTTGTCCAAGGCCATGAAGCTAGTAAGTGACCCATGGGTGTATATCAGTGTCTTGGGGTGTGGGGAGGGGTACTGTATGTACCTCAGGGTTTGCATTCTTACCTGATCATTTCTCCAGTTAAGTAACATGCTGATATTGCCAGAGGCGCATCAGGACTGTGCACAAGTACGTCATGTTGGGCTGGGTGCCTGGAGTTGATGAGAGTATTGTGAAGATATATGATCAGCCTGCAGCCCAGCAGGTCCTGGAGGATGAGGTTGGAACACAGCTGAGCTATTACACAGGCCAAATGGCATGAGCACTTATTCATAATGTCTGTACCTTCCCCAGAACATGGTCTGCTATAGACACTTGGAAGGACCCATCTGTAAGAAGACATGGAGACTTTCCATTTAACGACCAACAAAGAATGGTCTAGAGAGGGGCAGGAACCTCTCTCCAAGTTTTTCTACTTAATGAGTTTGTCCCTGATGGTGCCAGAAATTATTTTTAATATAATCTAGAAAATTTAGGCTTCAAAACACATTCATTTATGAGGCAAGACCATATCCCCGGTGAAACTGGCTACAAGATAGGCCTGAATGGGTTGTGTTTTCATTTCTTCCTGACTATTATGTAAGTTAGCATCATGGAAATGTAAAGGTACACACTCAGAGAGTCAGTCAGACTGGGACTAATTCCATTCCTGCAGCCCAGAGGGAAATCTGCTAAGAAATTGTTTTTTGAACCTCAGGTTCTTGTGAAAATTTGATTTTAGTCCTGTGGAGGCCAGGGGTGCCTAGGGAAGTGTGGATAGAGGGACCCTGGGGAGGACTGAAGCTCAGAGGAGTGCCCCCTTCTGGATAAACAGATTTAAGAATTACTAGCCAAGGTGATGGATTCCCTGGGCAGAAGGATCTGGTCCACAAGATGGCTGTTGAACCACAGTATTTTTTCCAGTTCTCTGTGCTCAATAGCTCTGGATATTAGCCTCTAGATTTTATGTGTTTGATCATTCTGTATTTGTCTTCCATTCCAGCCTCCTTGTTAGCTCATTTGTCCTTTTGAGGACATATTATATTTTGTTTTTTTTTTTTTTGGTCACCCTTGTTATACAGTATTTTAAAGCTAAGCCCAGTACTCCTGAAATGGTATGAAGTAAAAGGAAAACCATCTCCTTCATTCTGGAAACTATCCTTTTATTGGTGTGTCGTAAGATTTCATTAATTCATTTTTGGCTTAACACTGTCTTCTATGCATGTGTGTATATGTATTAGAGGTAAGTTCCCTAAGTATTTTGGCAGGCACACCTGATAAACTATACTATCTTTCCTCATTATGATATGCCGATTATTTGTGGCAGTGACACTATGAGCTTCACCTGGGAATCTTTTTTTTTTTTTTAAGAAAGCCCAGAAAAATAAAAAAGTCCAATTCTGAGCTAATCTCTGTGTCATTTATTTTTAGAAAATGTTAAAATAAAAGCCCCCCTCCCCGTTTTTGAGTCTGATTCTGTTAATGTAGATCAGGCTGTCCTTGGACTTGCTATATAGCCCAGACTGGCCTCTAACTTGTAATCCTTCTGCCTCAGCCTCCTGAGTTCTGGGATTACAGGTGTATGGCATCATACTTGGCTATCAGTTTTGTTTTAGGACCCCTTTTCATATGGTATTTTTTTGTTTCAGAACTGGTGATCAAACCAAAGTTCCCATGTCTTCTATGCAAGAGCTACCACCATGCTCCACCCCTACCTCTCTTTATTTTGGCTCTGAGAGAGGGTCTAATTAAATTACCTTGTCTGTCCTGGAATGCACACCTAGGCTGGTGTCAAACTTTCAGCCCTCTTGCCTCAGTCTGCTTGTATACTATTAAATGTTTTATGGGATTCTTGGACATTTTGTTTATGAATGCTATGTCTATTGATATCTAGCATGTTAGAAGTGAAAAAAGAATTCAAAAATCTAATTCAAGAACAGCTTCAATAAATTCACAACAGTTCACAAAACTTATTTTTCAATAGAAACAACACTTTCCAAATAAAACATCTATGAGTTGTGGTCTTTCATTTTTTTTTGGTCCTTAGTGCCTTCCTCATTCAGTCTTTTGCCATATCACATAGAGGCTATTAGATCCCCTGAATTCTGAGCTACAGGTAGTTTTGAGCTGCCTGATGTGGGTGATGGGAATTGATCTTAAGTCTTCTGCAAGAACAGCAAGTGCTCTTAATCTCTGAGCCATCTCTCTAGTCCTGTCATGTAGTTTCTTAATATCAGGTAATTTTGACTCCATGAGTTCCTCTGGCAGGGTTTTGGGACCCTGGGAAATGTAAGATTTTATAAAATAAGTGATGATGCCTGACCATTTTCTTATTAAAATAAACTTTTTTTTACACAAAAGGGCAAATACTGTAAAATTCTACTGCTATGGGTTACCTAGAATATAGAAATTCAAGAGACAGAGTAGAGTATTGGTTAATGGTGGTGAGGTAGGAGAGAAGATGGGGGTTCCTGTGTAATGGGTACACAGACTCAGTTTGGGAAGCTGAGAAATTTCTGGAGATGAATAGCTGCAAACAGTGGGATTGTGGCAAAATGCCACTGAACTGTATGCTTAAAAAAAGATTGAATGGTAAATGTCATGTTCTATACAGTTTAACATGATTTTAAAAATGCAGACTCCAGATACCCAATCGCCCATATTCTGATTCAACAGGTTCACAGAGAGGCACAGAATCAGCTATGGAAGCACTTGAGAGAATACCAATACCATTTTGTGGCCTGGAGAGATCGGCACCCTCACTATTTTTGTCCCTGCTAGCCATCAGCCTCTGGCTTCCCTGTTATCCTGTTGCCCCCACAGAATGCAGCTACTACGTGGCTTAAGAGCCAGCACCTCCATGAAGTGGTGAAGGTAAGGCCATTCTCCCCTTCTTTTCCAGTTTCTGGAAATTGCTTACATATTCTAGAACTGACCTACCTGTGTTTGGAGAAGCCTGAACCCAGGAACTGGAATGACACAATGCTCATGATGGGGTTGTTATGACTTGTTTTTGGCACCTGTCCAAAAGATTTCACATATCATCCATCAAGTGAAGTTCTGAGAAGCTTTTGAATAAAATATGTACATATAGGTACACACACATGTATATATCAAAATGCAGGTGACTACATTACTTCAGCTTTGGAAAAGCTAAATATATGAAATAACAAAAGGGAAGAGTTACATGCTTACATAATTAAAAAATATGAAATTCTATAAAAGCATGAATGACATTAAAATATAACCAGTCATCTGGGCACTCAGACAATAATATAACAAGATACATCCTGTCTTCACATGATTTGCATATTTGCAAAATCATCCATTTGCTGCAATTTAGTGATAAATCCAAGATCAGTTATGGTACTTGTGTGGTCATATTTGGATAAATGCAGCAGTTTAATAGCACAGTACAGTGCTCTAGCAAAAGCCCAACTATGGCTTTTGTTTCCAGTCTTAGGCTGTAAATAAAGCTCCCTGCTTGGTGTGTTTAGTGCCACAATCATCACATTTTTGATGCTATCACTGTTCAAAATACTCCCCAAGCAATAGTGCTGTCCAGTGCTTCTAAACTTAAGGCTTGGAGATATACCTTACAGATACACTGTGAGTATCACATGTGCTTCAGCCACATGTCACAGCACCTGCTGCCTGTGATTTTGTTGTTAATAACTCAGATCTGTATGCTGTGGGTCAGCATTCACTAGTACAAAGTTATCAAACTTACCAATTGTGAATAGCAAGAAGCACGATTACTATCAAGCATGCTGATTGCATAAGCTACATGTCAATTTATGAGGTAAACAATATAATTTTTATGAAAAAGCAAGCTATAGAAATACACAGGTTAAATGACTAGACAGGGAGAAACAAATCATGCATGTTAGGATTATTGAAAAACTCTTCCATTTTACTAATGATAAAAGAATTCAAGTTGGAGTAACAATGACAGGTCAGTGCTGTTGCCTATCATATTAGAAAAGATTGATGAACTGTGCTGGCCCCAGTGCAATGATCTTATCATTCTTGTATACTACCAGTGGATTAAATCTGCACGACATCATAGGAAGTGGCTCAGTAATCTCTACAAAAACTTGTATAAATTTTAGTATCTCATGACTGAGAAATTGAACTTCAAAGTATATCTTCTGAGAAATAAATGTTCAGCTAAAGATTTATACACATTTAGTATGATGTTATCTGTAAATGCAAAAATAGAAAAAAATAGAGGAGCCTTCGAAGAGGGGAAACAGATACACTATGGATTGAAACAAGATGAAAGACTTACAAAATCATTAAATTATTTTCAAAGAACAGTTGATGACATGAAAAACATTTTAACTTCATTGAAATAAAGCAGATGTCATATAAGCTAAAATTAAGTTACACTTACATCATATACACTGAACTAGGTCAAGTTGGAAATAAATCAGTTTCAGGGTGAAGCACACTTTAAGTTTAATTTAGTACATATGAGTTGAGGGAACGTCCTAACTTGTTACTCAGTAGCCACCTACCTCATTTAGTTGGACACGCCTTAGGAGGCAGGATAATGAGTTGGAATGGATAATGGAGTCAGACCAGGAAGAACAGACTCACCTTTAGCAATGCACAGAAAGGAACAATTTCATTCAGACTTCTGTGAAAACAGATGAACTGGCCCAGTTTTTGGAAGACTTCAAGAAGAAGATGACTTTGGAGATGAGTCATAAAGGATAAGTAGAATTTTAAGGTTGAAATGCAGGGTAAGTATTGGCCTTTTTGGCCTCTAAGTGACAACGATGCCTCGCTAGACTCTAAAGTTAATGACTTTAAGAGGCATTGAAAGTGTTGTATGTTGTTTGTGATGTATATACCTGGCATTTTCTAATATCCTCCTTAGGGTTCAGGTAAGTTGTCATGTTCTAATGTTCTGATCTTGATTTCAATAGAGAAAAGACATAAATATTTTGTGAATTGTATCCATTTGATGAGCCACATAAGGATGTAATGTGGAGGATGGAAGAAGGGTGGTAAGAAGGAGACATTAGAAGGAGGATGAGAAAGAAACAAATATTGTTGAGTACTGATGAGCTCTTATGGTACTTGAGCCATTTGATTTTACCTAAGGTACTTGAGGCCATTAGGTAGGCATCCATTCCGAATTCCTATGTTGCCTATGAGAATCAACAAGGACCCGAAGGATAGAGATAGAGTTGCAAGTGGAGAGTGGTAAGAAGTAGCTGCACTTGGAAATGTTTTTCAGACTAGCTACAGTGGAGGTGCAGGGATTATTTATTAGCCTAACTATAACTCAAAGATAGCTAAGGAGAAAATGAGTTCATAGAACTGCACCAAAGTTACAAGAAACAGGGGATATGGCTATACCCTGCAAAGTGCAGACCATGGTACCAATAGGAGGGGTTTAGAAATTTGAACTTGGGCTCCCTGGCAGGATGGAAAATGCTATTAAGAGAGGTTGCAACTTAAGAAGAGGAGGATATTGAATGAAACGGCATTCCCTACTTTAACACTTCTGCACATACCAGTTCCTTCTGCTTAGGGTGTCTTGGGGCATATTCTAAGTCAGTGACTAGAATACATCTATGCCAGTATTTGTAAATGTATCCAGCATCTCTGGAAGGACACAGAAGAAACAGTGATCACACCCAGAGAGGAGAACCTGGTAGGAGTGGGGAGAACACTTATTCTGTTTTGTACCTCTTGATCTTGCATTATACATGTTGCCTCCTTCCAAGGGGAAAACTATGAAATGCATGCACACCCACACCCACACACAAATCTTCATGTTTAAGCTAGAACATTTCTGTCTGCTGAACTGCAATCACAGAGTGTCCCTTTCTTGTCCATGAAGCCACTCCCTGCTCATTAAAACCAAATTCTATTCTTATCGACCACTTGACATGGGATCCAGTTGGCAGAATGAAGCAGAGCTACCAAAGATAGTCTCTGAGTGGAAAGGGGACATACATTATGTGGAGTGGGACCCTGAATTCAGCAGCAACTTCTAAAAGACCAAGTAACTTCTTCACTGGTTTGAAGGTGGAAGATAGAAACCTGGAAACAAAGATTTGTTGAAAGAAGCTGAAGAAAAGGGCCAGGGCAAGGTCATGTAGGTGCTTAGCTGTGTTGAGATGGAGTTGCAAGTGAATGTGTTGCCCTAGAGCTGTTCAGAACTGGTTCTGAAAGCCTGGAAAGCCCGCTGTCAACTACCAGACCCCATAACAAACCTACCCATGGTCATTTACATGGGCAGTTCACCTTTTGAGACCTCCTGGGTTTTATGAGGCTTATTTGACAAAATTTGAATGCCTATTTCGAGAAAGGCCCAGCACAAACAGTGATCTTGGGCATTCACAAAGGAGAGAAGGTTTCTGTGAGAATCAGTGGTTCTTGAATGTGGGTTTTGTGATTGATTAGGGCCCAAGTACTGTGGATTCTAACAGAGCCGATATAGTGCTTGGTTCCTAGTAGGTGCTCAGTAAGTGTTTGTGACATAATTCGTTTATTGAGCACCTCCTATCAATCAAGCACTGTGCTAGGCTCTGGGGCCACATAGCCAAGTTAAACAAGATGCTCCCTCTTGAGGTCCTTATGTCTAGTAGCAGCTACAGTAGAAGTATTAATTTTAATAGCAGTTCTGATAGGGATAGAAGGGAAAGGAGGATATGCCTAGGAAACAGAAGCAGGCTACAATGTGGGAAGGGGCAGTGACTATACACTATTTGTTCCAAAACCTTAGGAAGAAAAGGAGAGAGTGGAGACAGCAAATGGAGAGGTAAGGCTGAGAGACTTTTCCTTAAGAATGAGAGGTTTGAGCATAGTATTCCCATTAGAGAGGACAAGGATAAAGATTCGGGAGTTAAGGCAGTGAGAAATGGAAAAACATGAGGCTATGGAGGTGATTACAGTGTGAAATGGCCAGGATTTCCAGGAAGAACTCTTCTGAAGCAGGCGAGTGTAGATTTGTAGGCGATACCAGGAGATGATGGAGAAGGTTAAGAGTATGGAAAGGGCAGTGATTGAAATAATGGATTGCAGATCCCAGGTCAGTCAGAGAAGGTAATTATGCTGAATGAGTCTGGTAAATTGGGAGAAATCAAAAGGTCTAAGAAAAGCTCTCAGTGCAACAGAAGCAACCACAGAGTATGATATATAAATACAAGGTGACACAGGTGGGGCAGTTTTGGGTGACAAAAAGATTCTGAGTGTGACTGAGGATGTAGATCAATGATGTAAGTGTAGGAAGAGGTTAAATCCCTCTCATCATACAAAAGCTTTTACCAAGAATTTAGGAACAATTAAAGTGTGGGAGAAAGTAAGCAGATGCCAGTGACAAAACTTTTTGGTGGGAGAATGTAAATACCTTAGTTGCCCTTTGCCTGAAAAGGGTGGCGAGAAAACACTGTTGATGCATCTGTGAGCTTAGCTTCTCCTTCTCACAGAGTTCTTAATGGGAATGAGCCAGTGTCCACGGAATACAGCCTATCCCAGCAGTCCCAGCTGCCTAACAGCCTAGCAAAGGATAAAGCAATGCACTGTCTGTGGCCAGTCAGTAACATGCAACTCCGCAGAAGCATTGAGAAGTGTAGGTAGGAATGAAGACAAACCAAGTCACACAAAGGAATGGAAGCACTGTGCTCTAGGTTAATTCCCAGAGAGTGCAGTGCATGCTGGCCTGCTGGTGTCTTTCCATGGTCTGCACAAGAACAGTAGTGAGGAATGACATGTGCTGGAGCTTGTTTCAGCAATGCTGGGAGCGGAATGATGGGCAGGGAGGTCAAGCTTCCCTTGTGTCCAAGGGAGTTTTTGAGGTACAATTGTGATTAACAATGCATTCTAGAGTTTAGCTCATGGTGGGGGTAGTATCTCAGAAAAAGAGCAGTGACATATAACCACTCTCATCTTTGGAGAAACCTGTGAGGAAATACTGTAGAACATACATATTAGCTTCAAGAAACTTTTTTTCAGTATCAGCACCAGGAGCCACAGCAAACAGCTATAGTGATGATACTAGCTAATACATATATTGTCTTATCCTATGCAAGGGTGTGTTTTAAAGACTTTTATGCACATACATTTTTAGTACTTACAACAGCATTGTAAAGTCTAAATATATATATTAGCCCAGTTAGTGTTATGTAATAAAATACAGGTGACTAGACATTTTATAAACCAAAGACTTTACTTTAGCTCAAAGCCTTTTGATTTTGCAACCATTGTCCTAATATAAGCATCATATGATGGACAAGGATCATGCAATGACTCTATCTTCCCACCTCCTTAATTTACCAGAACTCAACCATGAGAGCTCCACCATAATGGCCTTATTTTAAACGTAGTCACCTCTTAAAGGCTCATCTCTAAACACTATCATAGAATTAATTTTGTATTTTCCTAATACATTACAATGGGGGAAATTTCAACATATAAAGTTGGGAAGCACAATCAGACCATAAACAAATCACAGTGGTATGAATATTATCATTGTAATTGCTGGTATTCAGTGGTAAAATGCTTAACTAGCATGTGCAAAACTATAGGTTCAATCTCTAGCACCACTCACAAACACACTCACAAAGCAAGTGCCTACTAGAACTCAAATCTTGCTGTAACCCATTCTGATGAACATATAGGTATGAACAGTAATGGACATCTATTTTCTCTGTGTAGACTATAAACTATAGAGTGTACACTTTTGAAATTTGTTCTGGATCCTCAAAGCTCTTGCTGCTTTCTTCCTGGGAGTTGGTTCCTGTGTGTATGAAACAGACTGATGCCTGTCTAAATTTTTGGTGATTCTGACATGCTGTGCAAATTGTATGTTGCTGTGAAGGAAACCTGACATGGGAGAAGCCTTCAGGAAATCATACGATTAGCTAGAACATGCTTGGAAAATCTATTGTCTCTGAAAGATAATACAAAGAGCTTATAAAATGTTTTTCTGGGCTGGAGAAAGAGTTCAGCATGTACTGAAATGAACCCAGGGCCCTGCACATTCTTTATAAGCTGTCTACCAATGAAACACAACCATGACACTCTTGGAACATTTTATGTTGAGACCAGGTAGCCCATTAGGTTGACCACCTCTGGTAGTTCAGGAAAGTCTTGAACTTGTGTTCCCCCTGCCTCAGTCCCCCTGGTAGGTAGGATTATAGGCCTGTAACATCAGGCTTGGCTTACTGAGTGTTTGCTTTAACAGAAGCATCCTATTTCAATTCATTCCTATATTAGTTCATTTACCATGAAGTGAAAAAAATTACATTATATGCATGGCCATTCAAAACAATTATTTCTACCTTTATGGTTCATTGCAAATTCATTTTTATATTAGAACTGAGCATAACTGGTGTGTGTGCTGGTCTAGCATTTACTGTGCTATTTTGCTTCTTTCCTTCCAGGTCACATATAAAGTCCCCTAATTTTTTGTTTTCCTGATTCACCTTCCTACATAGCTTACAGCCTCTTTCTGCTCTCAACTCAAAGTCTCCCTATCATTTATAATTGCTAGTCTTTGGGAACTGTTTATTATAGTTAGGTTTGGAGATTAATTAATATATCTCTATGGCTATTTCCTGCTCTATAAGTCATTGGTTCCCTTGAAGCAAGTCCTTTACATTTCCAAGGTCAAGTTTTCCTCTGTTAGCTCCACTTCTCTACTTCAGTATTTATGGTGTCAATAATTTTTTTCTAGGGTCAGCCTAGGGAATTCCTGATGTTTGAATTATCACCAATAGTAATCTGTATAGTCTCAAAGAGGCTGATGCTTGTGTGGAGGCCTTCTGAGCATCTCCCATATCTGCCTGCCCTTGTAAACATCTCTTCTTCCTCTGCTGTAGACAAGGAATAAGCCAGAAAAGCAGAAATTCCATCATTCATATGAACCAGTTTTGATGTCCCTTCCACCCCAATATTACTTTGCCTGTTTGAGCTTGCTTTATATAGTAGACTTGCTCAATCTGGTCACTGTGGATGAGAACCACATTGTTGAAAAGCCTTCAATATGTGGACTATTTAAAATCTTTGTGCTGTTGAGCCAGTGGGCTCTTCTGGCTCTGGGATGAGGGCTTCACCTCAAGTATTTGCACTGCCCTTATACTAGTTACTGCTAACCTCAGAATCAGGTTGAGAATTCAAAGAAAAACAAACCCTTATGCGTTGCCCTAAGGCAAAACTGTCCCCCTTACTACCTTAAGTGCCCGATTTCCACTAACCACTTTTTTTTTCCTGGTGAAAATTAATACCACATTGAAGAAAGATAAAGTCACTTTAGCCCAGTGCCAGTATACGATCTAGGCTGATGTATAGAGGCAAACAAAGGAAGAATCCCACTGTCACAATATAGAGTGGATCTCCACTACCAGAAAACTGCTTTTTAGGCCTGGGTGGTAGAGCTACAGCACTATTGAACTCTGACTGGGCTCCAATGAAAGCCTGACTTGCAAGGATGGGGCATGCCATTTTATAGAATTATCCTTGACTTCTTTGGTCAACATGTAGTACCATAATGAAAAGGAGCAGGAGAAGGGCTCTGGTAGGAGCTAGAATGATGTTCTTGCCTTTCCTCAATTCCAAAGCTCCCAGCTCAGTGTCTGCTAGCCTCCTGGTGTCAGTCTTAATTGACAGCAACAACAGAAATACTCAGCTGACTGAATTTCATCATCAGAAAGGGATTATGAGGCCACTAATTCACACATTGCCCCAACCCCTGCCAAGCTCCTGTGTGGGGTTACACCTAAAACAAGCTTTATAATGCAGGGCTTGTCAGGAAAGGCTGTCCTGTTGTTTTTCCTACTCAGGGAAACTGGAGTGCAAAAGAATCAGCAACTCAGCTTTACTCGCTGGCCTTGCTGCATATGGGGTCAGGCCTGGTGGGTCAAGCCTGGAATGTTAATTTTCCAGAACTCATACCTGGAGAGAGAGGAAACCATGAGGATGAGAGAGAGAGTGATGACAGAGTAAGGCCTGTAAGTAGGCCATCTGAGTTGTGAAGCTTCTGGTGGGTCTTCTGGATACCTTCCAGCCACATGGATATTCACTTCTCACAAAGGTTCCTTCCCCAAGATCACTAGGCTCCAACTTACTTCTTTTCCATGGTCCCTAGTTGCACACTGGGTGTGGGGCACATGCAAGCATGCATTTTGCAAGCATGCACACACACACACATGACCATGGGTGGATCAGAGTTGTTGAAGAAAGTAGACACTCTTAGGAGTTACAACATGGCATCTGTTGCTCATCAGGGAGGGACACAACTTTCAAGAGTGGTGTGAAATCCAGTAGATAATGAACAGTATTACAAGTGAGGCTTAGAGGGTGAGAGAATGAGGGTACATTTTCTCCTTTGCATATTTGTATTATTATCCTAGCTATGTAACATATGTTAGTTATGTAATACGTACCTATTTTTAATCCAAAATGTTATGTAAAAAGAAAAAAAGATCAACAGACATAGAAATGAAGACAAATATTTTTTAAACAAATCAAATTTAGATGGAATAAAAAGAAACAAGGAAGAACATTAAAAGGTAAAG